ATGGGGCCCTAACGTCTCCGTTCCCTCCATCAGGGAACGAGGGTTACGTACGTAACCAAGACGTTCCCTATCTGTCAGACACTACGAGTTATGTCGAACGACATATGGGGTCCATGGAAAACGCCACAACCTGAACACCATCACAACCCTGTGGTGCTGCAATTGTTGACAAGCCGAAGCGCGTCACAAAAGCTACGCTAAGGTCATAACCTTACCAAAGCCCCAGCGCAAATTCACTGACCTTGGTACCGAAGGGGACCACAGTTAAGTACATCGCTGGTGGAGAAGGCCATGCTGCTGTTCCGTCCAAGTTTTTGGAAGGGATTTCAACCTTCAGTGAAAGATTGCTTCAAATCTTTCCTATTTGTTCTTTCAGCCTGGCAGAACGATGGGGAAGCGAGCCTTAAGGAAAAAGTTTGCTACGGAGACCACATCCTACCCGTAGGGAGGTGACATGTTATCCCTGATATGGACTGACCCAGGGGGCAGTACTACATATGGAATGGGTCTCTGAGGCAGGTCCTACCTTAGAGTAGGGATGGAACAACTACCAGAAGAGACTGACAGAGCGGGACTGTCAAGGGAAGACACTGGTTTACCGAGAGGGAAACCTTACCGTGGAAGAATACACTTATGGGATTACCCGTAGGGAATCAAGCCATAGGGACACCTAGCCCAGTACAGGGGCTGGCCGGGACACCGGGCATGCTAACATCAGTACTGGGCCTGGTGTCTGACTGCTCTGCCAAGTCTGACTGACGGGGGTGCTGGAGGATGCTCGACCAGGGTTTGCCAACCGGGGAACTCTACTGGGAGAAGAAAGGCGCTCGCATCCCCGTGTGAGAGGGAATGGCGCAGCAAGCGTGACAACGAGCCAGATTTTCCCGCCAATTACCTGCTACCCAACACACGGGAAGAAACCGGCTCTACACGAAGGTTGTAAAACCTCGCGAAGGTGTTAGGTGTCGCCCAGCCCGACAGATGTCTGCCAGAGAGGCGCCGTGCGCCAGTGCCCAGGAGGCGGCAACACTCCGAGTGGAGTGAGCTCTCACCCCCAGGGGTCACGGCTCGCCTTGGGATCGGTACGCCAAGGCGATGGCATCCACTATCCAGTGGGCCAACCTCTGCTTGGAGACAGCCTTCCCTTTCGAAAATGCTTGGAGGTCCCCGACCCTCTTGATGGAAGTGAGCACGATCAGGAGCGCTGTCTCGAGAGACAGGAACTTTAGCGCAACTGAAGCAAGCAGCTCAAAGGGACCCCTTTGAATTCCAGCCAGGACAACAGCGAGATCCCAGGAGGGTATCTGGGGTGTCCTAGAAGGATTCAACCTTCTGGCACCCCTCTGGAACCTAACGATCAGGTCATGCCTTCCCAGGGACCAGCCGTCCACTGCATCGTGATGTGCTGCGATAGCAGTAACATACACTTTCAAGGTGGAGGGTGACAGCCTACGCCAGAACCTTTCTTGCAGGAAAGAAAGCACGACTCTAACCGAGCATGTCCGGGGGTCTTCACCAGAAGAACACCAATTCGTGAACAGACTCCACTTCAAAGCATAGGCCTGCCTCGTTGAGGGAGCTCTAGCCTGAGTGATAGTGTCTACCACCGCTGGTGGCAGATCACTAGGTCTGCCACGTCCCATCCAGAAGCCACACGAGGAGGTTCCATAGATCTGGATGCGGGTGCCATATGATGCCCAGTCATCGAGATAGTTGAGGATCCTGATGCCCACTTCCCATAGTGGGGCAAGGGCGCCCTCCGCGACTTTCGTGAAAACACGGGGGGACAAGGAGAGCCCAAAGGGGAGGACCTTGTACTGTCATGCCCGACCCTCGAACGCAAACCGCAGGAACGGTCTGTGACGAGGAAGGATTGAGATATGAAAGTACGCGTCCTTCAGGTCGATCGCTGCAAACCAATCCTGGGCTTTAACGCATTTGATAATATGTTTCTGCGTCAACGTCTTGAACGGGAGCTTGTGAAGGGCTCGATTCAAGACTCGCAGATCCAAAATAGGTCGAAGGCCACAGCTTTTCTTGGGTACGATGAAGTAAGGGCTGTAAAACCCCTTCCTCATCTTGGCTGGAGGGACCGGCTCGATTGCATCCTTCGCCAACAGGACAGCAATCTCCTCGCACAAGACAGAGGCGTCTCGGACTGCCACCGAAGTCTCGAGAACGCCATTGAACTTGGGAGGTTGCCTGGTGAACTGAATCGTGTAGCCGAGTCGAACCGTCCGAATGAGCTAGCAGGACGGGTTGGGCAACGCAAGCTACGCTCCTAAACTCCGTATGAGTGGCACCAAAGGGACAGTCGATGTACCCGCAGTGGTGCTGCGATGGGGAGTTGTGCTGGGTGGCCCAGAAGGCCTAGCGTTCTGAGTCATCACAGCAAAACTCCCCGAGTCCCCGGAGGGACTGGCCAGAGACACATGGAGAGGCGTTGCGTCTCCGAACCGCGACCTCTCGGCCACTGGCGATAGGGGGTATCATGGGTGAGAGTAAGGAAGCGGTGCATCGCTCACTGTCGACCCACGAGCCTTGCAACCCGGAGGAAAAGGAAACTGCTCTTTCTTTGACAATGTGGTTACCGCTGACCGTTGAGCCAAACAAGAAACAAAAGATTCTCCGCCCGGCCCTCCTCCGGAGGAAGGAGCGGCGCTGACCTCGCCACCTCCTAAAGAGTAGTCTCCCACATCTCCGGGTTGCCCGTTTCAGGGCCGCGTCGTCATCTTCCTAGAGAATCTAGTGGCCGGATGTGACGCCGCTCTCCTGCATGGGGCTCGACGCGCCGGCCTCGACGATGTCTCAGCATGATGTCTCTTCCCGAGGGACCGCGATGTGACTTCCGTCGCCCAGAGGGCAAAGTCAGTCGCCGTGCACAGCTCCTGCATCAACCTCGGGCAGGTACTACCCTCGTGCATTTGTACCCAAGGCCTTGGCTTGGTGAACTTGCAGGATCACCATTGCATGCAGGACAAAGGCAGCTTGGCCCGCAGCACTGTAAGCTTTGGCAGCGAGAGCCGCCAACAGCTTACAGGCTTTGGACGGGAGACGCGGACTATTCCTCCAAGTGGCGGCGTTTTTTGCGGGCACAGGTGCACTGCAATCGCTCTCTCCTCCTGGGGAATGTCGACGCACCCCCTAGCTGCCCCGCTATCGAGGGTAGTGAGGACGGAGGAAGGAGACGAGCGGCTTCTGGCCATAAAAGGGGCCATCCACGCCTACGTCACTTCCTCATGCACCTCCGGGAAGAAAGGAACCAGAGCAGAACGCGGTTGTGAGCTGCGTGCTCTACATTGAGAAACCATTCGTCCAGCCACAAGCACTCAGGGCTGGGGGGTGTATTCACCTCCAACCTAATGCTAACGGCTGCCCGGGCAAGCACGGCCATCAACTCTGGGTCCAATTCGGCAGTGGCGACAACACCCGAGGGGAGCAGCCCTGCCGAATCTTCATCCACAGAGGTCAATAGTTCATCCCCTGATGCTGCAATTGACATCTGATCCCCGGCGGCACACCAAATGAAATGCTGGGACCACCATAAGACAGCCCAGCAAAATCACTCAGCAGCCGCACAGGACAAACGTTGCGGAAGGAGTGAGAGGTCCGTGGGGCGTGGCCCGGCGGAGAAGCTCTTACTGTCACCCTCAAATCTCCCAGAGCACTAGCCGGTGGTCCTCTGTTCGTGGCAGAAAAACCAGGACGGGTAGTGACAGAGGGGTCTGCTCCTTTCCCTTTAAGAACGTAGCGACGCGATCGCAGCTTTGCCATGGTCATGCACTCGCAGTGTGAGCATGAACCATCCACGAACGCGTCTTCAGCGTGCTGAATGACCAGACATGAAGACAATGCTCGTGGCCGTTGTCAGAGGACAGGAAACGACCACATCCAGAAGGACACGGACGAAACTGCATCTTTAAAAAGAAGCAAATCGTCCGTGATTTGCTCTTTTAGGAAATCTGCTCTTTTAGTTGAAGTGCCCAGGGGAATCGCTGAAAGGGACACCGCTGTTCGCGCCGTACCGCCAACCAGAACAGCTTCCCGACACACAGCAGATGAATGGCTTTGTGGAGTATAACAGCTTTTCAATGCAACCACTCGGCTCCGAAGCAAAAATCTAATGAGTGGATGCGCGCTGTCGCCTTATATACCCTTAGGCACGGGGAGTGGTTCAGCATGCAAAATCCACTAGCCAATTCTCATTGGCGTTTCTCAAACTCAGAGATGATTGGTCTCCCAAGTGAGACCCCATATGTCGTTCGACATAAGTCGTAGTGACCGACAGATAGGGAACTCACTTGCAGCTGCGGTGAAGCTCCAGGACTTTCTCCTCCAGCTCTTTGGTCTGGTTCGGGGCCAAACGTATGTCGCTGAGATGAGCGGATCCCTGCAGCTCAGAGTCATAGTCACCCAGCTCCGACTGAACCGTGTAGGAGCCCAACACGCTGTGAGTGGTGAAAGAACACGGCAAACGCCCAGAAACCACGTCGTCCCTCAGCTGCAGACACAGGTAATACCTGAGAGAGAGAGAGAGAGTGTGTGAGAGAGAGAGAGACACAGAGAGAGAGTGAGAGAGAGAGAGAGAGAGAGAGAGACACACACACACACAGAGAGAGACACAGAGAGAGAGAGAGTGTGTGAGAGAGAGAGAGTGTGAGAGTTTATACGTCATCCAGCTGAGGTCCGACTATTATGCTAATAAAAACTCTACTAAAACAGCACAGGCTAGCACCAGCATTATTTTACCATCACTGAGATACAATTATAGTTTTTTTTAATTTTTATAATTTGAATTAGTTTTTATTTATGTATTTTAAGTTTGGTTACATTTTTTGTCATTTTGTTGTGCATTTTTGTCACAGTTTTTTTTGCAATGTAGTTTTTGATAATGAATGAATTAATAAATTATTTAATTTTTATTATTATTAAAAATATAATAAAAATGTCAAAATATTAATAAAAGTATTTATTTTACGAATTATTTTGCATTATTTCAGTTTCAGTTTTGGTTATTTTGGTACATCAAGTTAAATTAAATGAAAATGAGAAATCTTGCTTTAGCAACTTTGTTATTATTATTATTATTTAATTACATTAAGATAAGAATAACATTTTTATATTTATAATAATTAAAAAAATTGATAAAAACTACATAGACATATTTGAAAAAAGATAAAAATGCACAACAAAATGTTTTTTTTTTTTAAACAAAATTAAAATGAAAATGGATTCAATATATAAAAAAATAATATCTCGATACTAAAATAAGAGCTGAAAAAAAAAATTTATATATATCACAAGCAGACCTGGTGATGTCCTCGGAGAGCTGCGCCGGATCGGGAGGATAAAACTTCACGCTGAAGGCAAAGTTCCAGGGACCAGCTGAAAAACAAGAGAACTTCCTGTAAGAACTCGAAGACGTTTGGATGGAGACAAAGAAGGAGTCTGTTAGGGAAAGACGTACTGATGATCTGCTTCTTCATCTCTTTGGAAGCGTCCAGCCAGTTCTGTGGGAAAAGCAGGAGGTTCGGCATTGAAAAACAGGCAGAGAGACATGAAACCAGATCAGAGGACGAAGACTGACAAACACCTTCTGGTTTTCAGCGTCCCGGTGTGTAATGCCGAAATAGTCCTTCTCCAGAAGATTCAGGTGATCGCAAACCTTATCGAACAGCACCTGACCTTTCGCTCTTTTCTGTTGCACACAAACACACGCAGAGATCCATTAAAGGCACAGTGCAGCCAAAAATCATCATTCTGTCATCATTTACTCGTCCTCATGTCCCTCAAACCTGTATGACTTGATGTGGAAGACAAAAGAAGAATGCTGGCAACCAAATAGTTCTGGTTTCCATTGACTTCCATTGTATTTTTTGTCCATATAAATGGAAGTCAATGGGAACCACAACGGTTTGGTTCCCAACATACTTCAAAATATCTTCCTTTGCGTTCAATAGAACAAATAACTCATTTTTTAAACTTTTTATATTTTTAAACCTTTTTTTTATTTTATTTACTAAATGTGTATTTCAACATTTAAAATTAGTTGCATGATGTAACATGATTTCATTAAAACTGAAATAAAAATTAATAAAAAATATACACACAAATAAATAAATACAAACTACAAAAAAAGGCAAAAACACACAACAAAATCACTATAACTAAAATGAAAATGGAAAATATAAAGATACAAAAACGAATTATTCATTCAAAATATTAATAAACTACAGTATAATAGCATTTCAATGATACTAAAATAACAGGTTTGAATAAATGATGACAAGATTTTAATTTTTGGGTGAACTGGATTTGAGTTGAAAAATGATAAAAAGGTAAAATAATTTTTTTTATAGCTGCATGTCATGTGACAATTAATCCACATCAACCATGAACATGCTAATATGTTGCTAAATTATTGAAATATGAACTTTAAATCTAAGGGGGACTTTAAATATATAACATTTAAAAATAAACGTAAATATATATAACAATTAAAATAAAATAATTAAATTAAAAACAAAAATGTAAATAATTCGAATAAAAATATCAAAGGGGTTGTGGCTGACAAAAATGAATAAATACATTAAAAAAAAAAAGATTAAGAATCTTTTCCCCCGAACTAAGAGATTGTGAATTTAAGTCTTTATTAAATCAACAAATCTGTTTTGCCCCATTTAGAATTTATAATCTTAATGCACTTCAGAAGCACTTTCCTCTGAGAATCAAGCCTGGCGCAGATAAATCATGTTTACAAACGAATAATATGCTATTATGAGCGCTTCAGAGTGTGTGTTTGTGATTGAAGATCCAGAGAATCAGCTCTGGTATGCTTTAATGCACCACGCTTTTTATTTGGGTGCAAATGTGGGTAAATATTTTAAACCTGAGGTAAAAACATTTGTACACAAAATCTGATTACAACTAAATGATTAATCAAAATAAAATCACAATCAGAATTTGCCTTGTAAATAACAAATTCCAAAATTTCAACAACTATTAGTACCGTCATTTTTTTGGTTTTTATAGCACAAATAAAATGATTTTTTTTTTTTTATTAGTATTACTAAATTCTACTTTTATTTCACTGTGCATTTGTATTACAATATTTCTTATTTTAATATGTTTAATAACACCAATAATCAAAACCAATAATATTTTATAGTCATATTGGTTTATAACTATAATATGATTTTTTTTTTTTTTGGCCAAATTGTGCAAAACACAGCAAACCTAAAGCGCTTTCCTAAAGCATTTTAAATCACAATCATAATTTTAAATCAGAAAAATTGGCTGATTTAAACGGCTGATTTTCATTATTAATGATTTTTTCACAAAATTTGAATACAACTATATTAGTGCTGAATGGTTATTCAAAAAAAAAAAAAAAAGAATAAAAAATAATTAAAAAACATTGCAATATGGTTTAGTGTGACTAATGAATCACAAAGGTATTAAAGATGAAGAAATTAAGACAAAAATATTAGTTTTAGTGTAAAATAAAATTATTAAATATATTTCTTTAATTGCAAGTACAATAGTATTCAAATATTAATATATTTATTCTTATTTTGTTTAATATTTTTACTTTAAAATAATATTTTTTATTATAATGATTATTATTAAGTCATATTGATATATAAACCAAACAATATTTTTGCACAAAACTTTGTACGGTCGTTTGATAACAGTTGAGCTAGACCTGTTTTAGTTTGAATTGTGTCCTGATTTCATGAACTCGTCACAGAAATTATCCTTCCATGACAGTCCATTCACTCTCTGTCCTTCATCATCATCACTCACCTCCACGGTGCAGGTGTAGTCAGTGCCATCCAGCAGTCTGACCTTACACTCCATGACCTTCAGTCTGTGAGTCCTTCCTAGCGCTGACCAGGAGAGTCTGCTGCTCAAAGACTTCTGGGAAACGTAGTCGTCCTCGTGCTGCTGCTGATGAGCCGATCTGACCTCTGACTGACCCTGCGGGAACACAGCATCAAAATATCTAAATCAGCCTTATTTTAGGATCACTGAGACACTATTACAGTTTATTAACAGTTTGAATTGGTTGATTGCATTTAAATTCACTGCCATATCAGCTTCATTGGCTATTACATGGCAGATGCAAAATAAACATTCAAAAACATAATATCATAAATACAGCATAATACAAACAAACTTTTTATAAAACTCGACTAAGACTAGACTAAACAATTCTATAAAAGATTCTTCAAATGTACTTGTGATTAAAAAAAAGTTGTAAACGTTTTTCTGGGTCCATAAATAAGTCCTGACAAACATCGCTAATTAGTTTATATATATATATTATAAATTTTCTGTTTTATTTTAATTCGAAAGTTTTATTCATTTTGTTGTCTTTACTATTTTTATTCATTTCTTTTATTTATTTTCTTTTGAAATATGTCTATATAGTTTTTATTAATTTTATTTCCGCTTTAGTACATCAGGTTAAACTAAATAAAAATTAGAAATGGCAACTAGCTGAATTAAAAGAAGTTTTTAAAATATTATTTTATTTCAAGCAACATTTTTTTTATGGTTTTAGTTAACTATAACAACTCTGACCTAATGTATCATTTAAATGTCAGTCTCATTAAAAATAGATTTAAATTCTAAAAAAAAAAATTCATATAAAATAAAATTATAAAAAAATGTTTTTAACAGATTTAATAAACATATAAATAGATATACATTTAGTTAATCTAAAAATGAATCTATAATATAAATAAAATAAATAAATATTTTACTTAAAAAATAGAAAAACAGATGAATTTAAACTCTTAAGTATGCAGGTATGAAAATATCTAATTTTCTTCATTTAAGATATATATACAACACCCTAACCCTAATATAGAAGAAGAGGTTAAGTAAAAATATGATGAGCATGTAATATAGTGCATATGTTTATCAAAATGCTCCTCTCCAGAGATTTTTTTTTCTAGCTGACTATCAAGTTTATGGTCACCAAATGTCTTTTCTGAAGTAAATGTGAAGTTACGCGACATTATTGATCTCAAGCTGTTTTATTGACGTCTTTCCGCAGCTGAATCACTGATTGATGGATAACATGATTCAGGACTGATTTCAGTGAGTTGTTCTGTTTCTTCTGCTGTTCGTTCATGTTTATTTGGTGCTATAACTAGTAGTAAAGAGGAAGAGATGATCGCTTCACTCCAGCATCTGTCAGCACACAGTAAAGAGCCACAAATTGAATTGAGTGATAAAACTGATAGAATTTGAAAGCTGAGACTTTGTTTCATATCAAAAAGCTTATTGTGATTTATTGAATGGGAGGCGATACAAATAATGTTTGTTCATGCATCAAATGAAAACAGCAGAGATTGATTCTTGGGATTTGAGAATTGACATTGGTGCATCAAAATGAGAAATCGATATTTTCTATATAAAGCTGACAGTTGTCTACTGATAGTGTGATAATGACGTAGAGCAGGTGTACGTGAGGAAAGCTCTGACCTGCTGCTGTGCGTCCAGGCCGCCTCCTGATGCCGGTCGCTGCGTGTCGTCGGTCTGCGGTCGTTTGGATTCTGTGTGCGACTGCTCCGATTCTGAGCCTGGATCCGTCGTCATGGCCAGTTACACTGAAACGACACAAGCAGATATATTCAGGGTGCCAATCTTTAGACATTTCACAACTGCACTAGACTGCTTCTTGACTGGAATGAGCCGTGTGTTAATGTGGGAATCTGAGCACAGGAACACGCGGGAGTTTATATTTAGCGTGATGTTTACGCTGTATTTTTGAAAGCACAGGGACTCCAAGAACGCAGCAGGAATGACGGACAGGAATCACAGACAGACGCCTGACATTCAGACTGCAGTTAAGAAGAGCGTGTTCCGTTACACAACATGCCAGCTAAAGCGACGGTGCTGTGTTTATCTGTGACGATCAACAAGTCGCTGAAGATTCAGTAACAAGCAGCAACACTCAAACACATTGACAAACACTCATCTGTGACACATGGACGGTTCAGGACGAGACGAGCTGTCTGACTGACCAATGACAGACAAGGAAGTGGCTAAAAAAACCATTTAGCAACCCCTCAGAACACCCTAGTAACCTCACAGCAACAAGAATATTTTACAACCACCCAAGCAACCCCTTAGCAACCCTAGTAACCCCCTAGCAACCACCCTAGCAACTTCTCAGAACACCCAAGCAGCCCCTTAGCAACCACTCATAACACTGTAGCAACCACACAGCAACCACTCAGAACACCCAAGTAAACCCCTAGCAACCAGATTTTTCACAACTGCCCTAGCATCCTCATATCAACTACTCAAGAAACCCCTTCGCAAACACTCACAACACCCTAGTAACCAGAATTTTCTACAATCACCCTAGTAACCACTCAGGACACCCTAGTAATCCCATACCAACCACTCAGAACGTCCTAGCAACAATAATTTTCTGCAACAACCCTAGCAACCCCATCGCAACTACTCAGAACACCCAAGCAACCACTCACAACACCCTAGTAACACTATAGCAACCAGAATTTTTTGCAACCACCCTAGTAACCTCTCAGAACACCCTAGCAACCCCATAGTAATCACTCAGAACATCCTAGCAACCAGAAGTTTCTGCAAGCACCCTAGCAACCATTCAAAACACCCTAGCATCCCCTTAGCAACCTCTCGAGAAAATGAGTAACCAGAATTTTCTGCAACCACCCTAGTAACCACTCAGGACACCCTAGCAACCACTCAGAACATCCTAGAGACCAGAATGTTCTGCAATCACCCTAGCAACCCCATAGCAACTACTCAGAACACCCAAGCAATCCCTTAGCAACCACTCACAACACCCTAGTAACACTATATCAACCAGAATTTTCTGCAACCACCCTAGTAACCATTCAAAACACCCTAGCATCCCCTTAGCAACCTCTCAAGAAAACGAGTAACACTAGCAACCAGGATTTTTTATTTTTTAACCACTCAGAACACCCGAATAACTCCACTGCAAACACTCAGAACATCCTAGCGACTCTCTAGCAACCATCATTTTCTGCAACCACCCTAGCAACCCCTCAGAACACCACAGTGACCCCATAGCAACCACTCAAACATCCAAGCAATGAGAATTTTCTGCAGTCACCATAGTAACCCCACACAGCAACCACTCAGAGCACCCTAGCAACTGTTCAGCACTGCTTCATAAGGGCCTGATGTGTGAGTGGTTTGTAATCTCTCTTCAGAGGCGTGACAGTGATGGAAACCATCGGTGGATTCTGGATAGCAGTCGTGGAAAACCGCAGGAATAGCTGCGACTGCATTCTGTCAGACTGACTCCCTGAACTTTAACGGCCTGGTGCAGAAATGTAGGTCAAACTGAACCGCAGGAACAAAACAAGCAAACGGCCCTCCAGATCCGCTCAACATCGCAGAACAAAATAAGAGATGTCAGCCAAGGACAGAGATGCTGATGTTTCTTTCCTATTAAACAGATGAAACACTCATGAATAATGATGAAGAGCCACAGTGGCCGTGCTGTGATTATGAACGCAATTACAATGAAAATCACTCTGGAACTGAAATTATGTGCACTTGAACACAGGTGGCTAAAAATAGCTGAAGAAAAACATACCAATGAGTTCCACACGGATGAATGCATGCTGACTTAAAAATTAATGGATTTGAATATAAAAAACACTTAAAGGGGCAGAATGCATTAAAAGGGACAAAAATAAACCGCAACATTAATAAAAATGAACGTAATTAAAAAGTCTCATCTTGACATATTTGGTTCACATTCTGCTCTGTATTTTTACATGAAATACTTCTGTTAGCTGCCTTCTTTCTTCATATTTGAAAACGATTTTGATGCAAATACATTGATATCTGTTCATAAATGAAGACAGCTATTACAATCCACATGAATTATTTCACAAGTACTACTATTGCTCAAGTAATAAAAACGCCATCTCTTTTCATAAATTCAGAAGGGCAGCTTACAGTTCACTCACTTTCTGGAATATTTCAGGAATTTCCCTTCAGGGAGCAATAAAACACATCCATATATCCAGTCAGAAACACACTGAGCTGTGAAATACGCACATTTCTGAAAGCCTTTACACCAAATCCTCCGTCGCTCTCAACAAGTCTGTGTAAAACCTGTCCAAACAGAAGACCCTGGAGACATACGACCCGTCCTGACCTGAAACCCATTAACTAGGCACAGATGGGTTAAACCTTCTTAAAGGCTTAACTTCCACCCCATCGAAAACGAATGGAGAGGCAGTCTGAGCCGTCTGTGACCAGATAACACAGAGTTCAAGGGTTTGTTTGTGTTAATTCCCTTATTATTCAATTTCACATTGAGCTTCACAAGAATGACTGCATACTGTAAATAAACAAAACACTGGATATTACTTAAAAACGAATAATTACACACCACCGGTCAAAAGTTTGGAATAGATTTTATTCTGCTCACCAAGGCTGCATTTATTTAATCAAAAATACAGTAAAAACTGTGAAATATTATTATAATTTAAAATATCTGCTTTCTATGTGAATCTCTGTTAAAATGTAATTTATTTTTGTGATCAAAGCTGAATTTTCAGCATCATTACTCATTAGAAACCATTCAAAAGTTTAGAGTAAGATTTTTAATACTTTTTAGCCTATATATTCATCAAGGATGCATTAAATGTATCAAAAGTGACAGTACAGACATTGATAATGTTACAGAAATGCTGCTCTTTTGAACTTTCTATTCATCTGTGAATCCTGAAAAATAAAATGTATCAGTTTCCACAGAAATATTATGCAGCACGACTGTTTTCAACATTGATAATAATCAGAAATGTTTCTCGAGCAGCAAATCAGCATATTAGAATGATTTCTGAAGATCATGTGACACTGAAGACTGGAGTAATGATGCTGAAAATACAGCTTTGATCATAGAAATATATTACAGTTTAACAGATATTCACATAGAAAACAGTTATTTTAAACTGGAATAATATTTCACAATTTTTTCTGTATTTTTGATCAAATAAATGCAGCCTTGGTGAGCAGAAGATTATGAAAATTATCACTTATAGGCTAAACACTCCAGTCTACAGAACCCACCTCATATGAGGTTTCTGTGGTGTAGTGGTTAAAAATCTGTGTTGGTAATCAGAAGGGTGAAGGTCGAGTCATAAACTACCATCATTAAGTGGGAAACTTACTTCAACCTGCAATAAACATACTGCAAATCAAGTTATACAACACATTTCTGAAGAAACTTTGCCCACATTCACACACACACTCTCACTCACACTCACACACACACTCACACACACACACACACTCACACACACACACACACACACACACACTCACACACACACTCAGTCCTGTGTCTCTGGATCAATACAGAATCTTGATTTACAATCAGCTACATTCTAAAAGTGACTCTTGGAATTCAAGAAACATGATCTAAACACTGTCTCTCTGTCAAATCGACAAAGTCGTCTGCACTACGGCTGCTTTTACTGTACTTGAAGCTCTAGTTTTGTCACACTGCATTACAAGTGTAAACAAGGTGTAAATCATGATGTCATAAAGCAACAAATAACTGATTTTAATTAGGATAATGAATTGCAAAAACGTAAGACAATGCAAAAGTTGCAGCAAAAATTACGAGCCGTTCACACGTCACACCAAGGTCGATTTCTATAACTATACCGTTTTAATTAAGGAAACTATTAGTTTCAGAACGTTTTTTTTTTCCAGATGGTGAACGATTAAAAACACAGACAGCCAATCAGAATCCACTGACTTTAACGAGCTGAGCATTTAAAGTGGCAGACGACAAAACTACAACACACTTATAATAAATCCAACGCTATCTCACAACCAATTCGTACATGTTTTACGAGGTGGCTAATTCGTACTATTTCTGTGATGGTTACGTTTAGGGGCGGAGTTAGGTGTGGTCCTTTGTACGAATTCATAGGTTTTGCGAGAAAAAAAAAAACGACGTACGTGTTTTACGAGGTGGCTAATTTTGTACGATTTCTGTGATGGTTACGTTTTGGGGCGGAGTTAGGTGTGGTCCTTTGTACGAATTCATACGATTTGCGAGAAAAAAAAAAACGACGTACGTGTTTTACGAGGTGGTTAATTCGTACTATTTCTGTGATGGGTTACGTTTTGGGGCGGAGTTAGGTGTGGTCCTTTGTACGAATTCATAGGTTTTGCGAGAAAAAAAAAACGACGTATGTGTTTTACGAGGTGGCTAATTCGTACTATTTCTGTGATGGTTACGTTTAGGGGCGGAGTTAGGTGTGGTCCTTTGTACGAATTCATAGGTTTTGCGAGAAAAAAAAAAACGACGTACGTGTTTTACGAGGTGGCTAATTTTGTACGATTTCTGTGATGGTTACGTTTTGGGGCGGAGTTAGGTGTGGTCCTTTGTACGAATTCATACGATTTGCGAGAAAAAAAAAAACGACGTACGTGTTTTACGAGGTGGTTAATTCGTACTATTTCTGTGATGGTTACGTTTTGGGGTGGAGTTAGGTGTGGTCCTTTGTACGAATTCATACGATTTGCAGGAAAAAAAAACGACGTACGTGTTTTACGAGGT